ACCAGAGACTGCGGACATAGTACAGGAGATGACCAGAGACTGCGGACACAGTACAGGAGATGACCAGAGACTGCGGACATAGTACAGGGGATGACCAGAGATTGCGGACATAGTACAGGAGATGACCAGAGACTGCGGACATAGTACAGGAGATGACCAGAGACTGCGGACATAGTACAGGAGATGACCAGAGACTGCGGACATAGTACAGGAGATGACCAGAGACTGCGGACATAGTACAGGATATGACCAGAGACTGCGGACATAGTACAGGAGTTGACCAGAGACTGCGGACACAGTACAGGAGATGACCAGAGACTGCGGACACAGTACAGGAGATGACCAGAGACTGCGAACACAGTACAGGAGATGACCAGAGACTGCGGACACAGTACAGGAGATGACCAGAGACTGCGGACACAGTACAGGAGATGACCAGAGACTGCAGACACAGTACAGGAGATGACCAGAGACTGAGGACACAGTACAGGAGATGACCAGAGACTGCGGACACAGTACAGGAGATGACCAGAGACTGCGAACATAGTACAGGAGATGACCAGAGAGTGCAGACACAGTACAGGAGATGACCAGAGACTGCGGACACAGTACAGGGGATGACCAGAGACTGCGGACATAGTACAGGATATGACCAGAGACTGCGGACATAGTACAGGAGTTGACCAGAGACTGCGGACACAGTACAGGAGATGACCAGAGACTGCGGACACAGTACAAGAGATGACCAGAGACTGCAGACAGTACAGGGGATGACCAGAGACTGCGGACATAGTACAGGGGATGACCAGAGACTGCGGACACAGTACAGGAGATGACCAGAGACTGCAGACAGTACAGGGGATGACCAGAGACTGCGGACACAGTACAGGAGATGACCAGAGACTGCAGACAGTACAGGGGATGACCAGAGACTGCAGACATAGTACAGGGGATGACCAGAGACTGCAGACATAGTACAGGGGACGACCAGAGACTGCGGACATAGCACAGATGACCAGAGACTGCGAATACTGTACAGATGACCAGAGACTGAGGACACAGTACAGGAGATGACCAGAGACTGCGGACACAGTACAGGAGATGACCAGAGACTGCGGACATAGTACAGGAGATGACCAGAGAGTGCGGACACAGTACAGATGACCAGAGACTGCGGACACAGTACAGGAGATGACCAGAGACTGCGGACACAGTACAGGAGATGACCAGAGACTGTGGACACAGTACAGGAGATGACCAGAGACTGCGGACACAGTACAGGAGATGACCAGAGACTGCGGACACAGTACAGGAGATGACCAGAGACTGTGGACACAGTACAGGAGATGACCAGAGACTGCAGACATAGTACAGGAGATGACCAGAGAGTGCGGACATAGTACAGGAGATGACCAGTGACTGCAGACATAGTACAGGAGATGACCAGAGACTGCTTACACAGTACAGATGACCAGAGACTGCAGACAGTACAGGAGATGACCAGAGACTGCAGACAGTACAGGGGATGACCAAGCAACTGCAGACAGTACAGAAGATGACCAGATTGTGGACCTTTGGGGAGGGAGGGGGAGCTGGTACCTGAATTTGACAGGTACCCGTTCCCACTTCTGCAGAGTTGTCCTCCCTTTAGTGTGGGCACCCGGCTGTGACAACGCCACCTGACTCGACCAGAGGCATCCGTTTTTGCCGCAACGCAAATGCTCCCGTTAGAACAGCACCATGTGCTGTAATGTGCAGAATTGGTAGAGGCGTTTGGGAAGCGGTAAAAACGCTTCCCAAACGCCTCTCTGCCGCCTGCACACAACGCTAGTGTGAACGTAGCCTAAGACAGAAGGTGTGTTCCTGGCCCAATCACCAAGTATACACAGAGAGAAAAACCTAAAAAAAAGAAAATGACTGCAGCCACCACATCTAATGATTAGTAAACTTGTAATATATTACATTTTTGGGTTTGGCTTTAATGCCTCTTTGAGGTGAAGCTTCGCTGTATTCCATCATTCAATTATGTGCAAGCAAAAATGTCTTTTTTTTATATTCCTTGCACATGATTGAGTATTCTTTCCTCACAACATTTACTAGACCCTAGGGCAAATTCTCTTGCAAGGTGGACAGCCTATTTGCCTTTAGTACATCAGCTTCAATACCTCTAATATCTCTCCAAGCTTTCCTTCTCGTTCAGTGCATGTCTCTGTATTTTCAAAGTTACACTTTTCTGATTGTTGGTTTTCCCTATTCAGTTAGAACTCGTGTTTGTTTGCTTAAGTTTCACACTGATTACAGCTTAAATCACATCAAAAATGCAGTAAAAAATTTTTTTTCTTTAAATCCTACGTGTGCTGCGGGTGCGGTGCACTTTGAAAAGTTCTGCATGCTGCATCTTTGGTGCCTGTTTCAAAAGCACACTAAAACACAGCTCCTGTTAAAATCAATGGGGAAAGCATAAGAAAACACATCAAAACGTATCAAACGCACACCACAGTTGTGTTCTTGGTGCACTTTTTGAGACAAATGTCCATGTTTCACAGGTGTATGCTGGGAGCCAGCCTTGCCTATTCTGGACTTTTTTGAGTTAACATATTGGTATCTCACATATAGTACTGTAGTATTTGTGAAAGGATTCGCTTACTTTAGCAAAATAAGCACACAATCTGACAACAATATGAGGCTCTAGTTGTGATTGTTTAGTCCTAGTGAAAATTGGCTTCTATTGAGTGTTCGTGTTTCAGAAAATGCAATTATGCAGAAACGTGCTTGACATTACAGCAGCCAGCTGGCAGGTATCTATATTTATTTATATCAGCTGATCTTTTCTTTTAGCAAAGGAGTCTCTGAATGTTTGTATTGTCCTGGAGATTTTGCCAGCACAATCACACTGCATTACTATATGGATCTGGAGGTGTTGGAGAGTCTTGGAGCATAAGTGTGCAGAGGTGTGACAGTTCACAATCCATGCATTTGGATGTAATTTCATATTAACATGGAGGTGATCCTACTCGCTATAAACCAATGCCTAGTACACACAATGAGAATATCGGACGAATGATCATCTGGTTTTTTTTTTGTGCATGCTAGTCTCCATATCAAAAATGAAGAGGTTACTCAACTTACGAAAATTCTCGTACGAATGAATAGAATTTCGAAAGTTATTTCATGTATTGTATTTTTGGCAACTACTGTGTTGATTAAACCAAAATCGTACAATGTGGTGTCACACGAGAAACATTTTCGCTCTTGTCCGTTTGGATAGTGGATGTGAACTATCATGATTGGCTTTCGAAAGCTGTGTACTAACGATCAGATTATCGGACGATTGGTCGTCATATGAAAATGTATGTACAATTTTCTTATTATGTGTACGGGCCTTTAGGCTAGGTTCACACCTATGTGTTTTTCTGCTGTGTTTTGCGGAAACACACAGCAGTCCATTTAACATGATTTCCTATGGAATCAAGAAGCAAAGGTATTCAAGGCAAGTGCAGACTCTGGCTCGCCACCACACATGATGCAATTGGAAGAAGGGTCAGCCGCACACCCGAGTATTGATGAGTATACTTAATATTTATTGATCCATAGGACACATAAAACATCAGGACATATATACAGGACTTGGTAACGTGTTTCCCACGGTCTCGTGCTTAATTATAACGGTTATGATTAAGCACGAGACCGTGTGAAATGCATTACCAAGTCCTGTATACATGTCCTGGTGTTTTATGTGTCCTATGGATCAATAAATATTCACTATACTCATAAATCCTTGGGTGTGCAGCTAACCCTTCTTCCTATTGCATGATTTCCTATGGGACAGGTTCACATCTGCGCATTTTTACCCGGTGCGTTTTCTGGAAAGGGTCAGGGACTTTTTTAAATGGAAAACATTGCATTTTTGGTTCTATAGACTTCAATGGAGATGCTGCAGAAAAGCATGTAGTGCATTTTGATGCACTTTTTATGTGATTTGCGTTTTAATCTGCCCAGGAACAAGTACAAAAACATTTTTACAAATGCAAAATGCATCAAAAACATGACAAATATGCGTCAAAAAGACGTGCAAAAACGCAAAACACACCACAAAACGCACTGCAGAAACAGATCAAACGCAAACTGCATAGGTGTGAACCTAGCCTAGGACTGCTTTCGCACTGATTAATTATTGTTCAGTTAAAAAAGCAAAAGAAGCTCTGGTTCACACTTGTGCAGGTTGTATGGCCCGTGCTTGCAAGGGAACGGCAATCCATGCACGCACCTTTTTTAAAACAATAGTACAGGCAAAAAAATCCTCTGCTGCTACCCATTTAGTTAATTATCAATGGAGCTAACGGATGAATGGGTGCTTGATCCGCAGTCGCACTTCTGAAAATGGTAATCCGCAGAGATGATCCATGCAACCAATATCGCTCTAAAATCTCCAGTACATTTTAGTCGACTAAAATCTAATGGTTTTAATTAAATTGTAAAGCATTATTTATAGCAGAACTATAGGCAAAACTTTGTTTTTCTATTTTGGATAGAGTAAGGGAGGGTTATAACCCCTGCCAGATTTGAGCTTTCAATCTGTGTCCCATTGTGGAGATTTCCCTTCACTTCCTGTCCCATAGCCAAACAGGAAGTGAGAGGAAATCCATGCAAATTAAGGAAACTTCTTGGGGACCCCAGGGCACCAGAAATAGTGTCCCAATTGGAAGATTTTCCCTCTATTACTTTTTTGCGTGACAGCCCCAAAATTTGGGATTTTCTTTTACTTTCACTTTCAATGAGAATGGTAAACAGGACAAGCAGAGAGGGTGAATCTCCTTAACCACTTGCCTACAGGGCACTTATACCCCCTTCCTGCCCAGGTCAGTTTTCAGCTTTCAGTGCTGTCACACTTTGAATGACAATTGCGCGGTCATGCAACACTGTACCCATATGAAATTTTTATCATTTTTTTGAGACAGATAGTGCTTTCTTTTCGTGGTATTTAATCACCTCTTGGTTTTTTATTTTTTGCTAAACAAACCAATAACTACTGAAAATTTTGAAAAAAAGTTTTTTTCTTAGTTTTTGTTATACAATTTTGTAAATAGGTGATTGTTCTCCTTCATTCGTGTGCGCTAATGAGGCTGCAGTGATGGGCACTGATAGGCTGCGCTGATGGGCACTGATGAGGAGGCACTGGTAGGTGGCACTGATGGGCATTGACAGGCATCACTGATTGGCACTGAAAGGCAGCACTCATATATGGCACTGATAGACAGCACTGATAGGTGGCACTGACTGGCACTGCTAGGCAGCACTGACGGGCGCTGATAGGCAGCACTGACAGGTGGCACTGATTGGCAGCACTGATAGGTGGCACTGACTGGCATTGATAGGTGGCACTGACTGGCACTGATAAGTGACACTGAAAGGCAGCTCAGATGGGCACTGATATGTGGCATTGATGTGCACTGGTAGGCACTGATATGTGGCATTGATGAGGCACTGATGGGCACTAGCAGGTGGCATTGATGAGCACTGACAGCTGGCATTGATGGGCACTGACTGATGGCACTGCTGGGGCTACACTGATCATCAGTGCCCTGATGATCATTGTAAATGTCCTCTCTGTGGAATGCCAATTACCGTCTCTCCTCTCGAGCTGTCAGTGTGACAGCTCGTGAGGAGAGAAATGCCTTTAACTGGCATTTCCCTATTTACATGTGGTCAGCTGTGATTGCACACAGCTGATCACATGACCGAGCCGACATCTTCAGCTCTTTCCGTTGATCGGTGATCCGCTGTGTCCGAGGCACACAGCGCACCACCGATCTCCGCGTTGCGCGCAGTTAGAGTGGGAAGACTTCATATGATGTCCTCCCAGAACGAGAGAACCGCCTTGCGTCCGTCATTACCTTATATGGCGAGCGGAGGCGGTTTATGGGGAGGCACAGACAGCAATAAAAATTGACAATCATTCTAATCCATCTCCACTCTGTCCACAAATAAATAAAAAGTTTTGCCTTTAGTTATACTTTAAGTATTTCTCTAGAATTTTCATCTCATTATATACTCCTGGATACAAATCTAACATGTTATTAAGTGTTCTTGCATGGCAAGACCACCTACTGTTATCTCACATATATATTCTTATTATTATAGCCAAATTTACCACCCTAACTCCTCCCACAGTTTTTACACTACATAGACAGTAATATACCGCAACGTGCGGATTGTTCCCGATTGGTGTGCTATTACTTTGTGGAACATTTCGTCGAATGGTTCACAAAATATCGGCGTTTTTGTGGTGAAATTGGTCCCATAGGAATGAATGGCGGAATGTTCAAAACTATAGTGGGAGCTGACAAAAGCTAGCATGTGCGCAGAAAAATCAGGACATGATTACTAAACTGCCATCACTCCCTCATTTTCAAGCCCACCTACACAAATCTTATATCAAAATGTTCAGCTATCCCTGCTGCCACTAAAAATGTCCACGGCTAAGCCATAGTCCTGTTTTCAAAATATGACCGTTTGTTTGCAGCTCACGCCGCCCATTGACATTCATTGAAACTCCACTCTAACCACCTCAAATTTGAAGGGCAATTTCTAAACTGCAACTGTGACTACATTTGTAATATTTCAGAGACATACTATGCATCAAAATGTAGGTCTGGACCTTGTGATTCTCACAATATAAAGCTCTTCATTGTAGGATAATTTTTAAACTACAACCGTTTGAAGATGGCAACTGCCAGTGAAGTGAGCAGGTTGGAGCAGTTTGTTTTTAAACCGCTCTTCTTTGCCCTTGCTGTAGAGTGAGTTGCCATAGGAACCCAGGTGTGTGAGCAGGCAGCAGAGTGACAAGTCACTCCACCCAGTTACTCCGCCCACTCCAGTTGTAGACTACTGGTGGAGTCAAGAACACTTCACACAATTTCCCCAGAAATTGTAGCTTTTCTAGTTATTTATGGTATTAGGATTTGAACTTTCACTACAGACACAGATTTAGTTGTTAGATGACATCATTATAAGTAAAACCAAGTTTTGTTACAAGAAACATCCCTCCCTCACACTTTCCTTCCCTTTTTATTCATTGATAAAAATTGGAATTGATTTTTGTCATAGTTTTCATAAATTGATGAAAATTCGAATTGACTTGTTTAGCTTTCATCATTCATATAATTTCTTAAAAGCTTTAACCAGTGCTCTACTGAACACTGATAGAATTCACAAGTCTGCTCTAACTGCTGATGAGAAAAGGTATTTAGCAGTTTATATTTAAAAAAATAATTGCACTTCCATGTTCTGTGTACTGTGGGAGACCAGATAGAGTGAATGCAGGGTACTGGGTTTAGAAACACTGTAAGCTGCTGAAGATTTTACCCTCTTCATGACAAGGGCATTTTTTTGCTATTCGGCACTGTGCTACTTTAACTGGCACTTGCCCGGTCATGCAACACTATGCACAAATGAAATTTATATCATTTTTTTTCACACAAATATTAGCTGTCTGTTGGTGGCATTTGATCACCACTGGTTTTTTTATTTTTTATTATATATACGTAAAATCACAAAAATTGTGAAAAATAAACAATATTTTTTACTTTTTGCTATAAACCATATCCAATTAAAAAAAATGTATGTGATCCAGTGCAGTGGGGCTGCTCTGCCACAGTGAGGCCCCTTTCACACGGGTGTTCCATTTTTTTCATCAGTTCAGTCACGTTTTTTCCAAGAAAAAAACGGATCAGTTCACATCAGTTTTTCATCAGATTGCATCAGTTTTTCATCAGTTTATGTCATTTTTAATCAGTTTACATCCGTTTTATATCCGTTTTTTGGCTGTTTATATCTGTTTTCATCTATTTACATCCGTTTTTCATTCGTTTACATCCAGGTTTTTTTTTTTTTACCACATCCTGTAAATCAAAATAAATGAAAATAATTGTAGCAAAACAAATTTCCACTATCTTGACTTTTGAAGAGTACATTTACACAGTCATAAATTATAGAAACAAATTTGGGCTTTTTTTACTTGTGCCATAATCTAAATTCTCGGCAGGTTCAAGCTGCTTTTCAGATCATCCTACTGGATCCATTAATTAAAATAAAAAACATATGTGAGAGCACGCTGAGCAGAAAGCTGAGCCATACAAAACAAGGTCAGGGAACAACACGGAAGAGCCGTCATGTCTTTAGTTGAGATCATGAAATTAGCACTTTTTGTGAAGACCACTTGGGTAATATAAACAGATAACAGATCAACAGATCACAGTAAATAAACACAAAATCAATGGGTAGTAAGGAAAGAAAAATCATCGCCTTATTTGTTTAACCATCAAAGCTTCTCTCTTTAGCTTTTGTGTAAACATCAGACAATCAGACAGATGTCATTTCTGTGGATAGTAGAAATAGTTATACAAGATGAGCTATCTAAAAACATAATCATCTTATGGCTGGATTTATGAGTTGTTTTTTTTAATAAAGAATACCTGCACTTTAAAACTTTTCCATAACCTGAAACCAATGTTCCATCTGGTCTTTGTAAAATGATATAAATTGATTTTCTGAGTTTTTTTTTAATATTTGATTGCTAGGATGCTGTACAGTTACTAATCCTATGTATTTATGTATTGTTTACAACAGTACATTAACTTGGATTTACCCCCCTTCCTGACCAGGCAATACGGCCTTTTTTACCCCCACAAATAGAGCTTTCTTTTGGTGGTATTTGATCGCCTATGCGTTGTTTTAATTTTTTGCACTATAAACAAAAAAAAAATGACAATTTTGAAAAAAAACTATATTTTTGACTTTTTGCTATTAAACATATCCAGTAAAAAAAATAAAAACAAATCAAATTTCGTCATAAATTTAGGCCAAAATGTATTCTGCTACATCTCTTTGCTAAAAAAAAAATCCCAATATGTGTAAATACATTGGTTTACGTGAAAGTTATAGCATTTACAAATGGCATATATACTGGAATTTATTTTATTTTATTTTTTTTTACTAGTAATGGCGGCGATCAGCGACTTATAGCGGGACTAATGTCATTCTGACTCTGGGTGGAACTGACTTGGTGTCACTGATATCCCCAGTGACACTAATACAGTGATCAGTGTTAATAAAAAGCACTCACACTGTACTAATGGCACTGGGCAGGATGGGGTTAACATGTGGGGTGATAACAGGGTTAACTGTGTATTGTTTTACAATGTGGGCTGTGTGTGTGCTTCACTGTAAGTATACTGCTTTGTATGGCTCTGATATGCAGAGCCATACAAAGCAGTGTGCAGGAGCTGACAGGGGAGAGATCTGTATTGTTTACATACAGGTCTTTCCCCCATCAGAAATCCTCGGAGATCGCCAGGTGACGGCGGGGAACCACCAGCCGGGACCTGGTGATTGACAGCCCAGGCCGAGAATGGCGGCGCCGGTAGGGCGCATTCGCCCTCTTCCCGGAACTGCAAAATCATGCATATATACGTGATTTTGTGCACCTGTGCCGCCCTGTAGCAATATTTCTGCTATAGCACGGCACGGAAGCGGTTAAACAAAATCCCCGAATTGTCTTTGTCTGCTTTCATTAGCTGGGGGAAGGAGGAATAAAGAATTTGGAATAATACTACTGAGAGTGGTGTAGATACATTGTGGAATCATTGACAGTTGTCTACAATTGCTGATAATACACCTGCTTCCTCCTTCTCCACCTCCTTTTCTGCTAATCCAGCTAGAGCCCTGCAAACTGGCTATGAGGAATCAGATTAATTATTTCATCACACAATCAGTGACTTGCTGCAGGAGAACATTGTTGGAACATTCCTCCTTTCAGATTTTGAGGATAAGGAAGATAGCTTCCATGAGGATAGAAAGAAAGGGGGGCTCAGCCATGCCACTGGTGACATTAGGTAGGGATAAGCAAAAGGCAGTGGTGTTCTAGCAGCCGGAGCTTCCTATGAAGTGGGCTCCAGTGTTGAGTAGGGGATGGAGGACCAGGTGGCAAATCATCTGTAGCACTACCCCCTTTAGGGTCGCTAATTTATTTTCAGGCTCCCTGTCGTTTTTGACCCCACTTTGAAAGCCCGACCCCTGCTGACACCATTATACTCTTCTGGCCAGAGTAAACTCTGTCAATATTACCAGAAAAATAGACTCACACACATGTTGGAGTGAACTGATATTTTGTTTATATTAGAGTTGAATATGTGCGCAGTAAAGCAGCACAAAATTATAGACGTGCATACAATACCAGTTATCACTCTTAGTAACTTTTAAGCAAAGGTCAACATATATAGCAAAAATCTCAATCAGTTCTGGACGTCTGAATTGCAATTCAGAATTTAACCAAATGAGATGTTTCTGTCCCCAGTGAGCAAAGGAAAACTATTAAAGAGTATGGCTAGCTCACTGTGGGCCCTCAAAAGCTGATAACAAGGTTCAAGTCTGAGGTAAGGAAAGAGCTCTGTAATTAGGAAGACTAATGTCCTGTTAACTGCAGTGGAAGATCTTCTGTGCGCTTATTGGGGCCCAGTTACTTCAGATCTCCTTGGTTGCAACAGGTGTCAACAAGTCCCGCAAAAGGATTTATGCAAGCACAGTCACTATCCCTTTAAGTGGTATTTAATTTGGTTTTAACCAGTTCCCAACCACGTTATAGCCAAAAGACAGATACAGCATGGTTAGCTAGTTCTGGGAAGGCATC